TCTAAGAACTGCAGCAAWGCCACTTTTTCCTGGAAGCCACCTCGCAGACTGCACCAGTTCCTACAGCRATCTTCTGCCATCGCCCCAGAGCTACCGCCAATATTCCCGAATGTCCCCACTACTCTTATACAGCAGTTTTTTGAAGGATAACCGTTGTCGTCTTCCTGTTGGGTCATCAGCAGCATAGCCTGCATCCATGCCACAAATGACCAATATATCTGCACTCTTTCTCCTATCTTAAATCTGATATTGTAGTAATGCGCTAAATAATACTAAGCTTATATCAGCTATAATCTAGAAAAGTGATAGTAAGTAATAAATGATATTAAAAACATTTTTGCCATGCAAAATATTGGTGCTAGTTCTTTTTACTCATGTCACAAACAGCACAAGCAAGAGGTTTCACAAGAAAAGAGGCATCACAGATTGCTTTATTGTGTTCGTATTTGCTGTTTCTTAATCAAATAACGCTCATACGTAATAAATAGTTTCCAGGGGTAATAGGTCAATAGAAAGTCCAGGAGTGAGGGGGGGTTCCCCTTCTCACCCCGCAAAATTGGAATTGTAAAACAGCAAAATAACAGGGAAATCATGACTTAAGAGATGCAGATAATGATCGGTCTACTTCTGAGTTTGCAAGCAGCCTGTGGGAGAGGAGAGCTGTTCTGTCTGACTTCAGGCAGGATATAAATCTGCCCACTTAATTTTAAGAACGTTCCACGGTGGCAGGAGAAGTTTCTCACTTTGTGATTYTCCCTGCACTCCCATACTTTTTGCCTTCACGTTTTGGAGGAAAAACACCGTAAAAATAAAAGAAAGCAYGAAGATTTGAATATTCCTGGAAACCACAAGGTATTTTTGGCAACTGCAACTAGGAAGAAACGCGATGGTGTTCACAGGGAAGGGAAAGTGCCAAAGTGCATTTCATTTTTATGGCCTATTTAGAGGCAAGCATCCTAGAGCATTAGGTTCTTTGAGACATCTCACAACGTTTTAACGAAATGGGTATTTAGGATGAAATCCTTCCTTTTACCTTAGATTGCCTGAGGAGTGTTTTGGGGAACATGGGAGGGATATTTGGGCATTTTAAAACATGGTCTTCCCCCTTCTTGGTCTTCCCCCTTCTTGTAGATTTAGTGATACTGGGGTATCACTAAAGATGGGCAGGCAAAAAAAGGTAATTTTTCTGCTGCTTCCACAATAATCCTTCATGAATCCATATGCAATTAAGAAATATATATGTGTGYGTAAGATACAGTATTTTTCTTCTACTGAAATTCTACATATTTCAACATAGTACCCATGTAGAGCTTCTAGAGAGGGTCTAGCATGGAGCAATGAAGATCGAGCTTCTAATGAGCAAACACTATGTGAGTTGGGTCTGTTGGGTGAGTTTGGGTCAAAAGAGAAGATTGAGAGGGATATGTACAAATAGCCGAGGAGAGGGTGAGGATGGGGCCAAACTCTTCTCAGTGGTGGCCAGTGACAGGACAAGGGGCAATGGGTACAAGCTGAAACACAGGCAGTTCCTTCTCCATGTGAGGAGGAACTTCACTGTGAGGGTGACAGAGCCCTGGAAGGGGCTGCCCAGAGGGGTTGTGGAGTCTCCTTCTCTGGAGATCTTCCAAACCCACCTGGATGCAACTTGGTGCCCCGTGCTCTGGGCGTCCCTGCTGGAGTATGGGGGTTGGACTGGACGATCTCTAGGGGTTCCTTCCAACCACAACCATTCTGTGMTTCTGTGATTTATATGGTCCTTGAGGATCAAAGATGAGGGGAATAAAGGAAGAACCTATCAGACTTCTTGGGTTAAAAGGGGGCCACAGCTGAAAACACTGTTGCTGTTTGTAGCTGTTCTCAGCACCCTGCAACCACTTCGCTTCAGGTCAACCCTTGGTACAAACTAGAAGACCAGAAGACCCTGACAACCAGTGAAAATTTTGCCACACGCAAAATGTGAAAACAAAAAAGTGTATACATGCTCTTTTTTTTTTTTTTTTTTAATTGGATATGTGTAAAGAAAAAAATGATACACAAAAAGGTGCATCAAGACACAAAGCAGGTACAGAATGAGTCTCCAGGAGGTAACCAACAGCTGGGAAACACTTGGGCTTTGGAACAATGTGACGGTGTAAAACAGAGTTTCCCAGGGAGTAAACCGAGAAATCCCCTCGCACGAGGGGAAACTACCAGTGATGTGAAGCAGTGTGGGTGAAAGAGGGGAAACAAGAAGGCATTCTGTGAGAATGACAACTGCGCCCTCTCACAGATTCCTTCCCAAGAAGGACCATTCAGTCTGATACAAATGGTCCTGGAAAAAAAAATACTATGCTACTCTTATYACAAAAAAAAAGGGACATAGCACCAGTAAAGGCCATCTAAAAGTGTATCAAGAGACAAACCAAGTAAAAATGAGCAAGAGCACACAGAATTATATCAGATCAGAGATACAGCCTTGAGAGAGTCTTCGCCTCCTATAATGTGTTTGTTCTGACATCCACATTGCTGGACCATGTGATGAGTCCTAACAGCATCAGGCATGTTCATGACTGTACACCTGCCTTGAGGTCTAAGTTTATCATTTGCTGTTTTCTTGGATTGATCCCACACTCTGGAGATCTTCAAAATTCGATTGTGTAAACCTATTTATTCCCACAAGTTATACAAACCAATGGTATGCAGGTGTGGTGCACTGACATTAATTATTAGATTGTTTAATACATGAGATGTAAAGATTACATCTAACGATTAGCTATATGCAACCTTCTCTTACAAGTTTCAAGAATATATCAAAGCTGTGTGATTTGTGGTTCAGCATGCAAACCCAGATTAGGAGAGCTGCCCTCTCCTGTCACAACAGTTTTACTATCAACTCAGCAGAATCCACAGTGTCCTCCTTGGAGATGGTGTATTTCTCCAGACATCTAGCCCCATTTCCCAAGGAAAATCCACACCAGAGTTCTTCTAGGAATCAGCCCTGCGAGCCAGGATATCGTCTCTTTCCTCAAGGGCCCCAGACTCATTGCAATGTATCAGTAATAAGTTGCTGACTGCTAATACATCCATCAACCACCAACAGTGCCAGCCCCATAGGTTGGGGATGCTGTTCCTGATACAACCCATCTCTCTTTGAAGTTGTACAGAAAGAAGAAAGTTCCAAGGAACTCAGGAACTCACAAGGTCAGTGGGCAACCAGGAGAGAGTGAAAAACAGACACAATGCATGTGAAAGACCAACCTACCAGCACTGCACGCTATGACTGTGACCCCATCATCTAACACAGACTCGCCCAGCACAGTGGTTTCTTACAGTTCATGGATACAGGGAGTACCAAAGGACCCCCAGAAGCTGCTCTTGAGTCAACAGAGCTTAATGCAGCTCTATGAGGAAGGTGAATCACCTGGGGTGAGCCAAGGAAGCTCACCTTCACATAGGGAGATTCCTATTAATTCCCAGGAAACCCGTTACACTGCACTCCTACAACTCAAACARCAAGCATAGATCCAAATCCAGCTACTGAGTGGTCATCCCACAAGTTGTCCATGTCCGCACTGGCCATGGGCCAGACACAGCTTTCCAAGACAAGTTCCCACGGTGAATTTAATTCCTTCATGACATATTGCTGTTTCTCCCAAAGGAACCTGCACATCCACTAGCAGCCTTTCCACAGGATTCACAAATGGGAAACGTTTGGGAAGGAGGACATCCGGGTAAAATGTATGACGCCTGGTCCTGAGCACAATGAGAATTTTAACATTAAAAACCTCTGGATTCAGAGGTTTATCTTAGAACAAGGAACGATGAGCATACTGGATACGATCCACGTTGCTGGCACTGATATTCAGTAGAAAACAGAAAATAATGTAAATTTAAGTCTTCTCCTTTAATAAACACAGTTAATGATGATCAAAGAAAATGCATGCATATTCATTCTTGTAAGTTCTGGGACAGATTCCAACTGGAATCAAGTTTTGGCTGGCTGAATTCAAATTTATTTGGCTGGATTCTCTGCAAAGGYGAAAGGCAATCTTAGGCTCGAACCAGAAAGGCTGCTCAAAATCACTGRTTAGAGTATCCCCTGCTGGTCAGGGATTGATGCTCTGCTCGCTCTGGTCCTGCCGCTGCAAACTAAGATCAGCTTTGAGATTTACAGCATGGCAGCGTGGCARCAGGGACAAGGTGCAAGTGTGCAGACCCAGGGGTATGAGGACAATAGCTGTGGCAGTTCTTGTTTTATGCTTTAATACCTTCTATGTCTATGAATGATTTTCCTTCTTTGGTAGTGAGATGGCRCGTATATTTAAATGTAGATATATTTATACATACACATATATATGTCCCTCTCAAACAGGCATATTGCAGTATAGCCTCTACCAGGCTGTGCAGACCTCTGGTTTCAAAAACTAATTCACAGCAACAGATATGTGAGTTCCCTCTTGTGTCCAAGCGATGCTATAGCAACTCCTTCAAGTAACGCAAAAAAACACAAAATACATACAGAAAAACATCACAGCTTTGATGAGCAAGGAAACTAATCAAATTGTGCAGAACAAGACAGGTATACAACTTGTGTTTACTAGACAACTCTCTGTTTTAAAACTTTTGCAACAACTGTGCACAGTACAGAAAATGAATTCTTAGGACCATGTTTCTGGAAGACTGTCATAGGTATCAACCAAAAAGGATGATAAAACTACTAATGCAAAAGTATTGTTGCAAGAATCATAAAGTCAACAGAGGATGGAGGAAATTGGTGAAATCCCTTTGTAAGCTTTATCTTTGCTATAGACTACTGTGTGAATAACTAAAATACATTTATCACAAYGTACATGGAAACTGTCACTTCTGAGTGCAGGAAAGGGCCTAAATGGCCCTGACTGGGGCCACCTGGGGCCTCTCCCACACCCTTCTCAGGTGCCCAGGAGCCCATTTAAGCTCAGCCTGGGGCCTTCATTTCTTTCTCCTGCTGTGCTGAAGGAGAGATGGTCTCCAGCTCAGCTGCAGTTGACTTTGGCTGGGCCCTGTTGATMTGGACCTCAACCTACTGACTGCTTTCTCTGCTTGACCTCAGAACTGCCTCAGTATTAGGAGCTTGCGTGATCATCTGGGCTCCTGGATGAACCTGCCTCTCTGGGGCTGCTCCAGCTGCCTGTTTGGGAGCCCTGGGACAGTGAGATCCTGTTCCCTGCCTCCCCATGCCTCGGGGAGCAGCCAGCTCATGCTAGTGATAGAACAACTGACCTCTGCTAGTTGGGAGAATTGGTGCCACGTTTATCTTAGAAGATAAAATAACTGCTGCTATAAGGTTTTAATGACTTGCCTGTAGCATGCCAAAGGGACAATCTGTGCTGTGCTTAATTTATCTTCAGGCAAGCTAAAAGCTGCTTTGTGAGGCCCTCCACAAAGGAGGCACAAACAGCATCTGTACCAACGGTTTCTTCCTACTTGTTTTTCAAACAGAGTATTAAATCTACCTGCTTTCAAGTTAGCCTGAAAGGCATATGCCTGGCTTTTATATACATATATAATTATAATATACATATATAATTATAATGTACCACCTTACCCATTCAAACCATCAAATGAGAGGAAAAAACATAGTTGGAGTTGCTTTTAGAGGCTCTTTGTTACAGCCTCTCTAAGGGCCTCTTCATAAGAGAACAAGTCTTACCCCTTCCTCATAAAGGAGGGTACTTGTACACAGATGTGTAAATCAGATTTTCTTTTTTTAAATGTGGATTATAGAAACTTCTTTCTTGTTGAAGCACTCTGCTGGTTTCTGTTCTGCAGGTGGGTTGCTGCTCACATGCTTGCAGCAGCAGCAAGTCTCCAGCGAGCCTGACACACTGACCTACTTTGTGACTCTGCTCGTCACTCGTTCCTTTAGTCTCCTCTGCGCATTTTAGATCGCTAGGGCTGCGGTCTTTGATCATGCAGAGTTTGAGTATTCAGGCTTTAAATTAAAAGTGGCGGGAATTTAGTGTGTTTGCAACAGTGTTTTGGGGAAATGCATAAATTCTTGTACAATCTGCTTTTAAAAGGCAAGAGTTAGGCTGGAGTACTTAACATGCCCAGCACAAACGCGTATGGATGCAGCTACCTTTGGAAGGCAGCCGGGGTTTCATTCAGCGTGGCACCAATACTGGTGTCCTGAAGCTCTGGGGCAATGCCCAGCACCACAGGCCTGCTTCCAACACTGTATTTGAGGAATTCAGCAGTGTGCAACTGTGGGCATCTCTCAGGGTGCTGTGTGGTCCCATGAGAATGAAGCAATGTCGGTATGAAATGTAGAAGTCCTGCTATGAAATGTATTTATGCTGAGGTGTGTGGGATTTTTATTTATTTGCATGTATAGTTTCTGAAATCTATTGGTATGGCTTTTGTAGAGCACAATATACTGAATGGATCCTCAGCTGATCTTATGARTATCCATGACTTCTGCCCTTCCACTTCTTACAGCCGTATCCTCTCTCTGAAGTCTGCATTAAAACTCGGTAAGGGACCGTAATCTGAGTAAGGAAGATTCTCCTCCCTTAACTCTGCACCCAAGTTCTTAGTCTATTTGAAACACATGATGCACTRACTGGTTCTAAGCTGTGGGAGGCATCTTTGCTCAGTCTGAAAATTTCCTGAAAGCTCTCTTAGGAGCAAGCCAGCAAGTTTATTAGTATATGACATGCTTTTTTTTTTTTTTCTATTTTAAAGCCCAGCAATAAAATGTGAATGTTGCTATTGACCAAAGTACACGATGAGTACCCTATAAAGCTAATATGATATGAGTGATATTGCTGTTAAGATAAACATGAGAGGCAAGGAAATAAAACTTTCCTATAAACTTGGTTCCAGCAGGCACAACCAGAGTGCAAGCAGCAGAAGGGCTAAGCTTGACGTGGCATCAATAAAGGAGGTGGGCAGCCTGCAGAAGCGGGTTTGAGCTGAGCAAGGGGCATATCCAGGGGKGCAGTTGGTCCTCAGCTCCCTGCATCATGTGTGGAAGATGAAGAACCTGCAGACACGGGCAGCAACTCTGTGCTGGGCACCAACTTGATGTCTCGAAGATGAGAAGACAGCAAACTACTGGTGTGTACATGGCTATTTTCTGTTATTTATCACTGATAGAATAGCCTCTGATTTTTTTTGTTCATATACACCTGCAAGCATTTTATATGGCAATCATACTGCAAAAATAAACTATCTTGATAGTTGTCTTGATAATCTTTTCATTTTAGGTTAGACACATGTCTCTGCAGGATCAACTGGGGAATTTTTTATAAAGAAAGCCTCAGAATGATTAGTCTGAATTGCTCTTAAGAAGGAGCAATTTCCTACTAAAGGTAAGGCTGTTCCTTTACAGCAGCCCAAAGGTTACTGGCAACGCATCAAAGATAAACCCATGACGGGCTGATTTAGATATTAGCTACAAATCCCCATTAATCTGTTTACAATCTACCACCTATTGCTGTCTGCAGGGAGTGACAATAATACTAAGGTGCTTCTGGGAATAATTTATAGAGAAAAAAGTTTGTAAATACACATATATATGTGTATGTATACATTATATATACACACTTCGAACAAAGTGAGTATAAAGAATTCTCTGTAACTTATCTTCTACATTCTAGTGAATATGAATTATATGTCTGAACTTCACAGTTAACAGCATTTTGGTGAGGTTTTTGATAATTTGTTTTTTATATGCAATGGCTTTTGTTAGGTCATTCTATTTCARGAAAGTATTGTACTCTTTAAAGATGCCACAGTCATTTTATGGTGACTAGTCTTTTCAGTTTCAATTTTACTAACCCTTTAATATGCTTTCTAAGTTTCCCACTTCTGTTTGAGATCTTACTTTACCATCACACAAAGCTGGCAAAAATGCAATTGAATATTCACATAAAGGAAAATATAGCATAGGACTTACGTGTTTTACTTAGATATTTAGTATTGTATCTTTACAACAAGATGCCATAAACTGTTATTGGTTAAATATATATGCAAGAGCCAGGAAATGTGTGGTTGCTTGTGCACTGGGCAGCAGTCAATGAGAATGCATTACTTGGTTCCTTTGCAATTGTATTTATATTAATGTTAAGGTTATGCGGTATGTCTGCATAGATGTGTCTATTTTGCTTCTGTGTAGCAAAATAGAGGTGTGTTTTTGGCAGCTCCAAATTAGATACCTTTTAACCTAAATATCAGAGCACAGCAGAGTGACCTAAAGACGCAGTGGGCAGTGAAGGCTTGCATGATWTGTGGCCAAAGTTCAGCCCTTCAGAGAGGGCACCTTTTTGGCCAACACTTAGCTGAACAGCAGCAGTAAAACCATCATCTCTGCTCAAGTTAGGATAGCCTGATTTTGGGGTAGGCAGACACCCTGTGGCACCCCAAGGGTGGCTATTGCTTTTCTGCTTTGGGTCTGATTAAGTATTTGTCCCACATACTGCTTTTCTGTGGTGTTGACACCTCCCGATTCCCAGCTAGAATGGGAGGAAAAAAACCCGTGTCTGTATAAAACAGTCCCTAATAGGACTCCAGCAGCAGCTTCTGAAGTTTATGGCTGTGGTTATAAACAAGGATGTGAAACTACTGGTGCTAAAGAGTTTAATTCCTTTTGGGGTTCAAAATCTTTTTTTTTTTTTAAACAAACAGCTTTTGAGGTGTTGGAGGACTTTTTAAACTCATGTGAGGAGCAGCTGTCCCTGTACACCCCACCYGTCCCTTGCTGACAGTTGCCCAGAAAAGTGGATTTTTGGTCTCAGCTGGGTGAGACTGAGGCAACAACTCTTGCCTCCTTAACAAAAARGTGGTTCCCTGGGCTGTTCGTGAGGAGAGCTGCTCCTCCCTCGACCAGAGATGGCCTCTAGTCGGGAGATGGCTGAAAAAAAAAAAAAAAAAAAAAAAAAAAAAAAAAAAAAAGGGGGGGGGGTGGCTAACGCTCCTAAGGCGGGAGGGGGACAGGACCGCACAACCGTGGGGCGCTGAGGCGGCCGCCGCCCCCCCATTTTAGCCGCGCGGCGCCTCTCGCCTCGCCGCGAAATGGCGCCCGCGTCACGTGCCGCTTCCCGCCGGCGGCGCGGGGCGGGCGGGCCTCATGGCGCCTGCGCGGCGGCGCCGGGGGCTCCTCCCCGGCGGGGCTGCGGCTTGGCCAGGGCTCGGCCGGGCTCTTCGCGGCGCCTCGAGCCTGCCGGAGCGGGGGAGCCTCGCGGCGGTGAGCGAGGGGGTGCGCGGGGATACGGCGGGAGGGCACCGGGCTCCCTTCTTCCTTCCCGGCCGCCTCCGTGCGCGCCGCGCTCGGCGCCGACGAGCCGGCCCGGGGAGCGGCGACGCCGGCGGGGGGGAGGCGGTGTCCCCCTCCCTACGAAATTTGGGCTGATACCCCCCGAGAAGGGCGGCGGGGCGGCTTCGTGCGAGGGTTGGGGCGAGGCGCCGACAGCGGCGGGTGTAATCCGGGGTGTAGCGTCCCCGCCGTGAATTCCCGAGGTGTCCCCGGGGGAACAGCCGGCCGCGGTGGTGCGCACAGCCGCGCTGGCTGTAGTTGTGCCCGGGAGACGGTGTCGCCTTCTCCTGGCAGGCGCTGCCGGGGAGCCCTTTGCTGCGAGCGTTAGGACGAAACCAGAGAGGTTTATTTGTTGTTATTGCTATTTTTAACGTCTAAAGAGCTCGCGTTGCGTTTTTAAGTCAGGGTGAAACGCTCTCGGGAGGGGGGAAAAATGCTGGAAAAGTCTGGAAAACATCAGGGTTGCTGACACATGCAACCAGTTGCGTAGGCCCCTTAAAATAAGCTCTGTAACAAGCCAGGGCACATCTAAAGAGCTGTTTTGTAGGATAAATAAATAAATTAGATAAAATAGCTTTTCAGGGAGGGGAAAGGCGCTCAAAATGTGCGTTTTCCCCGTGTGCGGAGCTGTGGGGAGAGGCGGCAGCAGCTGCGCGCGGGCAGTGTTTGCTAACAGGGACACGCGAGGGTGTGAGCAGATTAGCTGAGCCTCGCCAGGCCTTCCAAACACCCACCAGCCTCGGCCGCCGCTGTTGATCCTTCAGCCTTGCACCTAGACCGCGCTCTGCTGTCAACAGAAGCAGTTCTTTAGCCTAGCCTCGTGTCTGACTGCATTTCTGTTGCTATTTGTTAGGTATTTCCATATTATTCATCTTCCTGCTTGGGTTAGCTGGTACTGAATTGCTTTGATGGCCTGTGTGGCCTTGAGCCTTAAAGGGAATATTGTGAGACCGTACACCTGGTTTGTGTCTCTTATCAGAGCTTTCAGAAACCTCTCAGTAAGCTGATTTTTTTTTAATGCAGGAAAAGACTTGGGCACTTTGATCTCTGGCATAAAAGCATAAAGTGCTAGTGAATGTAACCTGGTTATTTAATTCTGCACCGTGGGACTCTCTGGAAGAGAAGTTCACTCCAGGAAAAGTTATAGTTTATAGTTAGAAGTATTTAGCCATTATAGGTAACCACTTCAAACCATTGTGAAATGCAGAAGGCTGCAGCACAGTGTGATAGTATTAAGTCAATTAATTTGGAATACGCYTCGCAGATTGGGCAGGCTGTTGTCCTGGGGTCCCTGGGATAGGGAGAGGCTGCAGGCAGAGTGACCTGTTAGGAATTCCCTGCGTCTTGTGGTGTGACCGAGTGGGGGACTTGCATGGGACTGGGGACATCTTGGTCACTCGGATACTGGGCCGTATGGTGGAGGAGAGCACCTGTGTTTTGATGATAAGTCGTATAGTTCTTTTGGACAGTAGAATTGCCAGTGGAGGGTAAAATGCAGGAAAAATCTTTGCTTATTGCAATGTCCATGCAGGGTTCTGTAACTTGCTGGTTACAGAGGTATTTATGGGCAGTGATCTTTGCCGGACTTCGCTCTTAATGAAGCAAATGCTGAATAATTCAAGCTGTTTACATTGTATTCTTGGCTGGAACAGTGTAAATGCAGTTCCAACGTCCTGCTTTAGTTTTAAAGGTAACCTGTCTGCATAATCCTGTGAATAGCAAGGCTTTTAATACAGGGTAAGTCGCCTTGTGTTAAGATGATGCAAACTCATTCACTAAAGCAGGCGGCTGAGGAAGGTAGACAAAATGAAGAAATAACAGGTTACTTGGCATTTTTTTTTAAGTGGGAGGGTAAAAGTACTTGACCTCTTGATTACTGCCAACTTTTTTTTTCTGTTATCTGGAATGGCCTATTGAGATTATTTTTAAGTTAATAAAGGTTTTTCTGACCTTTTATCTGGACAGGAGGACAGATGCTTGTGAATGCCCCATGGCGACAGCAGCCCCTAGTCATTCTTTTCTTGCCTATTCTCACTTGGAAGCGTTCTTTAGGTAAGGAAATTGCTTCAAAATATGCCGTGCGGTTTATTAAATTACACTTACTACACCTCACTGCTGACTCTTTAAATTACACCTGTGTTTTGCTCTTTTTCAGTTAAAAATCTTATTTATGTATCTTTCTGTTCACATGTCATTATCAACCTACATCCTTTCATGTTGTAGAAACTGACAGCATTTTCGCTGATGAGTTTTGGCTCTGTGTGCGCCCTGCCATGCAGAGTTAGCAAAGGAATGATCAGCTCATTTCACTGAAGAACAGGTAAAATGTGCAAGTAGTGCAGGAGCACAGTAATTTAAATTTCTCCAGATTCCATCTGCAAACACAGTTACAAGAACATGTCAGCTTTGTAATCCTGGGCGAGCATGATGATGCAGCTCTTAGATCTTGGCATGTTGCTGTCCCTATTATTTGATGCAGTTTTATTGGTAAGTTAATGTAAAGTAGGTAACTGAATTTGGAGATTTGGGTCCTATTTTCATAAATTAATAGTAGTAGAAGATGATGCTCTTTGATACTAAAATACAGAGTAGCTCCTATCATATTGATATATGGGAGCATCTTGATGCATTATCAATATTTTTCCAGTTGTGAGACAGTTTAGTGAAGGCAATTTGTCAAGGATGAGAGTGATGCAGTAGCATAGCTCCTTTTGGTAAACCTGAGCAATGTTTAAATCTGAGAGTTCTTCAGTTTAAGATATTAGATGTCATCTCTTCAGATACAAATCTTCTGAGCAATGTCACTTTCTCAGCACGCTAGTATGTGGTTAGCTGAAAAAAACAACACTTATGTAGGTACATAACCTCCTGAAATACTATGCACGCTGTACCTGTGTTGTGTAAGAGCAACACTGGTGTGACTCAAATTACGGGTAATGCCAAAACAAGGTTTGTGGGAACGCCTGCAGCTTTTTATTAGCTAGTTGATAGTTCTGAGACAGCAGCATTTGGTAAAGCTGATGTATTTGTCACGTTCTGTTCTACTTGCACATCTCACAGCATAGAGGGTATTAGTCATCTCAGTCTTGTTTCCACAACTCACCTGAATCCCTCTTGGGGGCCTCCCAGAATTTGCAGAAGAGCTTTTCTRTGGTCCATGACTTCACAGGTCAGTTCATCTTCTGGGACCCCTCTCTGCCTTCTGGTTAAGGAATCCATGCACACACATGAGATGACTCATCAGTGGGATGGATGTTCAGACACCAGAAAGGTGCTGGTAACTTGACAGGAACTTCCACATTCTTTGGAGGTATGTGTGCATGTCCACCTATCATTTAATACTACCTTGATTATATGTAATTGAGTTATCTTCAATTGTATTTTAAAATACATATACAATCAGTCTATTTCTTAGTCTAAATTTTAAGCATTCACACTTGCACAGTAATTATCAGGGTCTCGTGTTTAGAAAGACATGAAAAAATTTGCTAGTTTTAAAATTCAGCAATACAGAATACTAAAAAAAAAAAAAAAAGACAGCTTCAGAATATGTCTGTTAATGGAAGACATGGCTGCTTTCATGAAGAACAGCCCGGGTTGCTATGTATGCTGGGCATATCTTGTTTTATTTCTTGGTGTTTCTGAAATAGATGTACTGCATCTTGTCTGCAGGATGGGCCTTTGTGCCCTTTCTAGTAGCTTTAGAATGACAGATCTTTGAGAGCCAAAGCAGCCTTTGTGAAGCTCAGATAAGTTTCAAATGGCAAAGGGAGAATTACCCTTTTTTTCAGATACTTAAATTTTACTGAAATCATGCTTTTAGACAGCAGCATTTTTTTTTTTTAATGATGAACACTAAAGTTTAGGAAACAGCAAAATTTTTAATGCAGCCTAAGGAGACAGGAGGAAAAAATAAGCAGGTTATTTGCACCAAGCTAAATTTAGCAAGGCTATGAGAAATTTGAACAGAGTTCTCTATGGTTAACTAATGCATCCACCCATTATGCCAGTTTGTTGTGCAAAAGTAAGAAATAAGTAAAGATTTGAGAAGTCATAAAATGTGATCATGTAGGTAACTCAATGAAATGGTCCGAAATGTGTTTTCATATTGAGCTCATAAGGAGTTTGCATCTTACTATGTTAGTAATACTAGTACAATTAGTGGTAGTATAATTAGTACAATGGCACTTAGTAATTGATTACAAATACTACCTTGCTTTTGAATGGAATGTGTCGGAATGTGCCTAGCACTATTAATTCGCTCTGATGTAATCACTTTCTCACTTGTTATGTAAAGCACACACAGGTCTGTTCAGGAAATAATTTGAAGAGTGTCACTAGTTTATCATTCTGCTTGGATATGTGTGCTTTTTTTCATAAAAACGAGATATTCCCACTTGCATATCTGGCAAATTTTCAGCCCTTAAGACTAGGGTATGTCAGTTGAATCCTACTGCTCAAAGTGGAGCACAGAAGTGTGCTGGAATAAAGCACGTGGTCTGAACGTGAGTTTGAATTAATTTGTGAATATTTGGATCTTAACCTGTTGTGTCGTGCATCTGCTTACTGCAAGGTTTGTTTCTGTTGCGCAGCTTGGGAAATAGCTCCAGGTAGCTAAGTAAGCTGGAATAACATTTAAAACCAGTGTGACTTTCTAAAGTAAAACTTATTTTTAGCTAATTTAATGTTTAACGATTGAAAAGCATAATATTAAAAAGAAATCCAGGCATCCTGTGAGGGCTGTTCTGGAAGGCTTTCAGGAAAAAAAAATATACAATGTGTTCTGTTGATTCACATGCAGATCATAATTTTACTGCCTTCACTAGATGATATAAAAACTGATGCAAGAAGCACATGTTAGGCTCCCAATTATACCTGTTAACATTATGTTCACATCTAGATTCTCAGCTCAAGTTGGGCTACCAAGCATTTTTGCATAGTAAAATATTTTAAATTTCAATAAAATTCTTAGTTCTTAAACTGTTTTTTTCGCCGATTCCACCATCTTCTGTGTGCTTGTTTTTGTTTTCTGTTAGAGACCCTCTGTACTTGAAACCGAGAAGCATCTGTGCAGGCTGAATATACCGGCTCATTCCAGTGCCTGAAGCTGATTACATTCATAATGAAGAGGGCCAGGCAGAAGGTTGGGGTAGAAAATGAAGCTCCTGAAACATCACAGAAAAGAAAAAAGAGAACTTGTTTCCAGGGAGCACCGTTTGGAGAAGCCAGCTTGCACTCGGGCTGGGGGAGCCTTCCTCACCACGTCATTCTGCGGATATTCCAGTTTCTACCTTTAGTAGATCGAGCCAGGGCGTCCTCTGTTTGTCGAAGGTGGAATGAAACTTTCCACGTCCCGGAACTCTGGAGGAGGTTTGAATTCGAACTTAGCCAGCCAGCTACTTCTTATTTAAAGTCCACTCATCCTGATCTCATTCAGCAGATTATCAAGAGGCATGCTGATCATCTGCAGTACGTCAGCTTCAAGGTAAAGGCTTGAACTTCTTTCTAAAAGCGCAGCTGCTCCAGGCTCTTTCCATGCTGTTTCCTTCCTGCATCTACATCCTGCATCTATGCTCCAGGCTCTTTCCATGTTGTTTCCTTCCTGCATCTACAGCTTAGTTCCTGCGCAATAAAGAAAAAAGAAACATTTTGTGATGCTGTGCCTGAAGGCTGCCTGACTTTTTTTTAAAATAGAGACTGTGGGGGTTTTATAGTGTGAATGCAMTGATACTGGCAGCTGCAGTGCTCAACAGATGAATCTGCAGATAAAGTATTTCTTACAGAAATAGAAGAATTTAAGAAAAAAAGTGTGTGTTAGTGCTGTTGCTGAGCTTTTTTACACCTGGAGACCTTGCGATTTGGTTGCGTAGCRGGAGGGAGCTAATCAGTTATTAAGGGAGCTGAGATGGAGTAGAGATTGGTCTAGAGCTACCCGTGAGGCTTACGGATGCATGGGGACCTTCAGCTCGTTGTTAAACATGTTAAGCTATTGTCCCTGAAGTAACCTGAATTAGTTTGCTCAGCTGTATCTAGGCTTTCCTGAGGCTTTTTATTTCTGCCTTAAATGTGTTGGGCGTTCGTGTGCATGCACACATACGTGGCATGCACTGTGTATCATAATGCCAACATTAATTACTCCTGTTATGTAGRAGGAAATATGGGCATGAGGCTCTTCAAGGAGAAGGGCTAGGCTTAAGTTACTCGTATCAGAAATACCTTTCAGTTATACTCTGTCCTACATTTTGATAGTGCAGTAGTTGAATATTTCTATTTAACTCGTCTTATCATGAAATTGCTAATTACTCTTACTTTGACCTGGTGGCAAATGAAATCTTGTGCAGTACAGGCTGTGTTGCTTGTATTCCTTGGTATTCATGACACTATTAAAGTTTTCTAAACAGTAATAGTGAATAACTACATGATTCTTAAATGTCTTTGCTAGGTTGATAGTAGCACAGAGTCAGCAGAAGCAGCCTGTAACATCCTTTCTCAGTTAGTGAACTGTTCTATCAAGACACTGGGTTTGATTTCTACAGCAAAACCAAGCTTCATGAATGTCTCTAAGGTAATGTCCTATAAACTCGATTTTTGTAAATATATTGAGAAATTATTTTTTCAGCAAAATATTTATTCACTCTTAAAACAACTTTCTTTAAGAGAAGACTRGATAATAGTTATGCTTATGTAGGAAAATATATAATGTTGATATAGACTTGTTATTCAGAGAACAGTTATTCAGTTGACACTTTTTAAATAAACTCTTCTCTTGTTATTGATGTGTTATCTTGTGGTATCTATTAAAATGAGGAAATAAATTTAGGTTCCTTTCATTAAACGTAGTAATGTTGATAACTTCACAGCATAGAGGAGTGAACTGTTCTGAATTCAGAAGAGCTGRTCCTTCTAATTTCCAAATTAAAAGATACAGCAATCGCTAGTTCCAGTGTATTGAAGAAAAGTTGAGATAATTGTATTTATTGTTTTTTTCTCTCTCCTTGGCGAGGTCACAGCAGAATTATTTTATAGAAGATAAAAGAAAATTACACTTTTGATTGATTCACACTTCATTCTCTTTGAATGCAGAAGTTTGGCTTATATGTAAGGCTTATGTTCTCATGCTTTTCTTCTTTTTTTCTGCCCCCAAACAGGCTCATTTTGCTTCAGCACTGACAGTAGTTTTTGTAAACTCCAAGTCATTGTCATCAATCAAGATTGATGACACACCAGTTGATGATCCTTCTTTGAAGGTTCTTGTCGCCAACAATAGTGACACTCTGAAACTACTAAAAATGAGTAGTTGTCCGTATGTGTCACCTGCTGGTGAGTAGTGAATTTGAGAAATGTTGTATTAAAACAGTAGGAAACAGTAGTTAGGGTTTAGGTTTGAAATGTTATCCATATTTTCTGTGCCTTTGAGTCTTCTAGCTTAGGCCTTTTATTGACCTAATCTTGGATGTTTCTAAATTTGAAGGAAAAAAGAAAAGCCCTTTGAACTTCTCACTTGACTACATCTTCTAGAAGTCTTGGAGATGCTCTTTATGTTTTTCTCGGCTGTTCCATTACTTCTGATAATAGGTTTTGAGGAGAAAAAAGCCTTCAAAATTAGTGCACACTTTTAATGCAGGTTCCAGGGCCTTAGCAGTCATTGCAAATTTTGCCTATAAGTAACTGTGTCAATGACTTAATGGGCTCATCTGTAGAACTTAAGTCAACGCATGTTTTGTAGGAATAAAAGTACAAAACCAAGTGTAAATCAAGTACTCCTTGGTGGGATAAATGTATTTTTAAGATGATGCGAGTTAAATGTATTCAAAAAAGTATTAGTGCTTTGAAGTTGTGTTATAGAAAGGTGAGAATGTACAAACTTTAAAAATTTGGTAGTATTACGACCAAAGGACTTTTTCGTTTCTGCAGTGCCCTCCGGTGTCCACATCTGGTAGTACAAGTGTTTTATTTTGGTTGCTGAAGGGCCTGCTCCTTTCAAGGTAACAGTGCAGGATTTCCTGACAGCTCAGAGAGCCTTTGGGTCCACATGTGAACAGATGTGGATATTTAGAATTTTATTGCACTTCTGGTTCTCGATTGTGGGCATGAACACTCAAGCCAGTAAACTTGGTGCTTGCTCAAGTTCTACAATAAATAATTGCTAGTTATATTCACTTCTTATTTAACCAAGTAATTTTATTTCCCAGGAATTCTCTGCGTTGCTGACCAGTGTCATGGACTTAAGGAGCTGGCATTGAACTACTACATTTTAAGTGATGAACTGCTGCTGGCTCTTTCGAGTGAAAAACACGTGGATCTTGAACACCTTCGGATAGATGTTGTGAGTGAAAATCCTGGACAAGTTGAATTCCACACCATTAAAAAGCAAAGCTGGGATGCTCTTGTTAAACACTCCCCCAAAGTCAACATTGTGATGTATTTCTTCTTATACGAAGAAGAATTTGATGCTTTCTTCAGAGAGGAAACCCCTGTTACACACCTTTACTTTGGTCGTGCAGTAAGCAAAGCAATGCTAGGTCGCATTGGCATGAATTGCCCAAGGTTAATTGAGCTGGTTGTTTGTGCTAATGGACTTCAGCCTTTGGATGAGGAACTTATGCAGATTGCTGAGCGCTGTAAGAACTTAACGGCGATGGGGCTTGGTGAATGTGAAGTGACTTGCAGGGGGTTTGTTGAGTTTGTGAAGATGTGTGGTGGCAGGCTCACCCAGCTTTCCATAATGGAGGAGGTGTTGATTCCAGATAACGATTACAACTTGGATCAGCTTCATTCTGAAGTCTCCAAACACCTTGGAAGAATGTGGTTTCCTGATATGATGCCAACGTGGTGAACTACCGACATCTGTGGATAAACTGCTAGGATCAGGGTGTTGCTCTCTATGCAAATAAGGAACTTAAAAATGATGTATGAAACATATTTCCAGATTTCAGTTTCTCTTCCTTGAAACCCTGGATAGAGGGGTAACAGTAAATCACTCAAGAATGTTCACGGTATAGTGAAATAGTAATTAAGTGTACTTAACTGTAGACACTCTTGAAAGTATGTCCATGGTTTACAGGTACTTTTTTACTTCGGTTAAATAAGGCTGCTCTGATTTAGTTTCAGTTTAATTCTATTAAAGTTAGACTTTTTGTGCTTAGTCTTTCTGAGGTAGTCAGGAGATAAGTAGAGAAGCTTTCCTCCTTGAACAAATCCAGCTTGTGGAGAGCTGGATAAAACTTGGGAGTTCAGGAAATCCGTATTGTTTGCCATGATGTTTCATGCAGCAGATTTTTTCCAAGTTCTTGCTATAAGTGCACAGGCTCATACTTTATATTTGAGTAACCTGGACTGATGTAAGTATTTTTATTTAGTTTAAGCTCACTTGATGTGAGTACATTGAAGTGGTGTGGTAAGCATTAAGTTTATGCCCCCCAAACCCTTCTGATTTTAAATTGCACTTTAAGTCAGTTTAAGATTAGCCAAATTGTAGAGACAGTTTTGTAGAGTATGTTGTTTTTCTATTTTATGTACTTCAGTGGATGGGGACAGAGACCTTGTTAAAATTGCTGGATTTCAAAGTTTGAATCTAGGTCGATTACTTACATCAATGATAAAAGACTTTGGGAACTACAGAATAAAGGGAATAGCTTTCGTATTGGAGAGAGGCCAGGCTCTCGATTGTGAAAACTGATGTCTGAATGCTGTTCCATGCTCCTGATTAGAAGGATTTCAGGAAAAGGACCAGTCAGAAAGAAGATTTGAGAGGAAAATGGTGATCTTCAGTCACTTGCTGCCTGGGATCCAGGGTTTAAGAGCACTTTCAAAACTTATTTGCCATTCAGAGGCCACAATCTGTGGTAACTTTGCCTGTTTGCTATAGTAACTTGCCGCAGTGTTCTCTGTGAGCCCTGGTTCCCAGAGCTTGTGTTGCTGGTTCCTGAAATTTTTGATCTAGGGGGGGAAAAAAGTATATGACTGTTCATTACATGTTACTCTTAATTGTTTGGGGTTTTTTGAGGAGAAAAGTTCTATTCCTTGCTTGCGGGCAGTGGAAGGGAAGGGGGAGTTGATGTAGAGTATSTATATTTGTGATATTTTGCACACTTTGTAAACTAAAATATACTGCATACCAATATTACAGTAATTATTTTCTTGCTGTAGTAGGTCCATCTTCCTGTTTGTAATGATGTGTCCATTTGATGAATGGTGGGATTTGTGACGTTATAGCCAATGTCAGATGGTTTCTTCCGCAGTTGAGCTTTTCTGCAAAAATAACTGCCGTGGGTTGTCTGAAACTACCATTATCTTGGACAAACTTGTTTTATGACTTGTTCACAACTCTAAGCTAAGGGAATTAAGTAAGAAGATGCAGGTCTGAATCAGTAATGCATTTTTGCTTTTTGCACAGTGGGGTAGGAGGGTGGGATAGGGAGGCAGAAGAAGGGCAGCTGACTGTTTGCTAGCACTTCTTATGGAAGCAAGTGCTTCATTAGTCAAGAGGGTTATAATTTACCTTTGGACAGAAAATTGAAGTATTTCCAGACAGTATTTGGTTTGATACGTGCTTTGCTATAACTGAAAACTTAATAAACTGATTTAATCCATGCACTGCTAGCAGGTACCTGTCTGTTCAACTTCACTCCTTCTAGGCAGAGTTTTGTCCTACAGTGATCGTGTACGTGAGCAACCTGGGGAAGGACAGTCTCGTTACCTAAGAGCTTAATTGTTGTCCTTCCACATTCCTGGTGCAAACTCTAGGATGTTTTGATGTGCGGCGACTGTGAAAACTTGGAGAAATCCTGCAGGAGATGTTTACAAATTCCAGAGTCCTTCATCTCTCTCTCCCACCTGATACCATTAATGAGGCACCGGGGGCTATATGCGGAATGTAGAACAGGAGAGAACTTCAAATGCTTGTGTGAAATATTGTCCTTTTCTCTGCCTCTCCATTACTAAAGGAGCCACTCTGTGAAGCTGTGAATGATGGTTTGCTCCAGCTCAAAGGTTATCCTACATCTGTTAGTGCTCCCAAAATATACTAATGTTAGGGCCTTGCAATATTATGTAAAATCCAAAGTACTGAATCAATAGTAATGCAGAATGTTGTGTTTTTTATTTATTCTGGGTAAACAATTTGTTTTTCCTTCACTTGTTAAAGCAGGCTGTCCGCGTGAGAAGAGAAACAAACTTTTGGATGCTGAGATGAATTTATTTTGAATTTACTTCACTTCCATTTCATCTTCTTTGTCCCTTCCCCCTTTGAAGATAGCTGGTAGGGTCTGAATGATCGCAGTTCTCAACGTGAATGTGGGATGTGATGCCGGGAAATACTCTCTGCATTGGGAGCATTTTCCCAAGGACTTGTCCCTTCCCAATGAAACCGTTGTATTTAATGGGATGGATACAGAGCAATTTTACACAGAAACCTGGTCCAAAAAAAGAGTGAATAAATAAAAGTAGCCAAACACTATAGTCTTGGAATATAAAGATAATAGAGCTACTAAATTGGTGGAAGAGGTAAAATGGGGAGGGGGAGGARTGAGGATGGGGATTCTTGGTTTAGGAAAGAGAAGAGCTTGAAGACTACAGATTTAAACAGAATTCCACTAAAACATCTTAGCTTTTTAAAACTTTTCTTTGCAATTTGTCTCCCAACTTCAGGACTATAGAGAAGAGTCCTGAAAATTGAGAACTAGCCTTTTATGTTTCAGAGTGAGTGCCCTGCGTTTGGGTTTCGACAAAGGAACAAAAATTTCTGAATGTAARTGGGTAGCAGGTGCTGTGGCTCAARCCAGATGYRCTTTGCTTCACTGCTTGGGTGCAATGGATCACATCCTACATGAAATTAAAATAGAAGAACTAAATGAAAAATGGCTATTTACCTGGTCCCTTGATTTGGATCCCATCATCAATGGCATTTCCATTATGAAAGAACTTAATGGGTCCGGAGAGCTGGCCAGCAAAGGGGGCGTACACAGTAGCTCCATCAGCGCAGATGACATCCACACCCGCGTGCTTCCCTTTGCCGCTGCGTCTGAAAAGGGTTGCGTTAGTTGTGACGATGCTGGCTTAGGTTGTGGTTGAAGAATCTAAATTGTGTTTTTATTGAAGTGTAGATTAGGCAATGCCCTGGTTTTATGATCTGTACTGTTAGATTTGCAGTTTTGTGCGCTGACAATGTTTCTTACAACCCTTTGATTAGAAATGTGCAGTAGAAGTGTTGGTYAGAAGGTATTTTGGGAGCTCATCTAGTCCAGCCCTCCACTGAGTCAATGCTGTTCCCAACACTGGGTCAGTTTGGTCTTGGTTTTGTCCAGGTGAGTCTTAAAGTTTCCCAGAACGGATGTCATGACTCATGACAACCTGTTGTGTTGCTGCCGTTACCTCTGTAGTGAAAATATTACCAAATTTGCGACCTCAGCCTTCAGGTAGCTGAGTTTTAAAAGGGGCTCAACCCCACTTAAACTCTTTTAATGAAGCAGTAACAAACTCATGCTAATTACAGTACCTTGGAGCTCCGTAGTATCCACAGCCGTATCTGTCACAGCCTCTTATCTCGTTTGTAGGATTCCCAGCACATACTGCTGCCCAGTGTTGATCTTGTTGTGGAAATGGTGGAACAACTTGGAATGTAGAAACACGAGAAATTAGAATGATKCTGAATAATCTGGTGGACTCCATCATGACATTTTAGTTTCTGGGTTCTGCTGCACAGCTGTGAATACTTTGTTTTCATTTTAATTAAGTAGGAATATGCTGGAGTTGTTGATGTCACAGAACTTGTCACCCATGTGGAAGTATGAGCACATCAAGACTRATTTCACTTTTTCTTCATGTAGAGCTATCAGATTTAAGGAACACTCTTTAGAGAAATGCCAAAGGATTATCATGTTTCCTAGAGTGTTACCTCTTCAGTAAATACTCTGTGGTTTTTTTTTTATTTGGATGAACCTAATAACATTTCATTCTTCAAGCCCTATTCTACATTACTACCAAAATCATTAAATTTGTATTTGTAAAGGATCATCCTAAAAAGTGAGGAAATCTTTGCTGTGTTTTATCTRAATAGATATTTATACATATATACATGAACACAACACTTTTTTTTACCAGGTTTGAGTAGAGGGGTAGGATCAGAGCGGTCACAGTTCTCAACATGGATGTGAGAGACAATGCCAGGAAATACTCTCTGCATTGGCAACATCCTSCCAAGCTCTTGCCCTCGCTGGATGGTGCCATGGTATCTGATAGGGTGAATACAGACGAGTTTCACACAGAAACCTTGAGAGAGAGGASAAGAAGGGAAGTCAGGAAACATGAAGTGAATCTTGTGCTGTTCAAAAGGTCCTCCATGTGAGGACACTCTTAGTGGATATTGCAATGATGAAGCCAAGGTGCAGTAAAGATACCAGCAGCCCTAAAATCAAAATTCTCTATCTTGTTTATGGAAAAGGGGGAAAAAAAGAGAAAATAGACAGTATTCCCRACAGGAATAGGGTCAATTTTCCCAGCAGAATTTGGACACATTCCTGATGTTTTTACAGTTTTTTGATTTTTTGATTTTTTAATAGTTGGTTTGCTTTATTACCYGTTTTCTCAAATTTCTCTTCAAAAAGAGCATAGGAAGAGGGCCGTGCTTCCTGCTAGTGATGGCTTGTGATGTTTGTGAACAGGATTGTAGTTGTGTTTAGATACAGGAACCAGAGAGCAAACAACAGCTTGCAGGACTTGGAAAGCCACAGAAATAACTTCCTCGAGTGAATAAAACAGCAGCTGCTGTTACTTGCCTGATCCTTTGATTTGGACTCCATCGTCAATGGCATTTCCATTATGAAAGAACTTGATGGGACCTGAGAGCTGGCCAGAAAAGGGAGCGTAGACGGTAGCTCCATCAGCACAGATGACATCCACACCCACGTGCTTCCCTTTGCCGCTGTGCCTGGAAGCAGAAGGGTGTTTAGGGAAGCCTGTCAGGCCCGGCGTTAGGGAGAGGTATCAGCACCCTGCAAGATCTGAAGCTTGTGCAACCCTTTAAGCTTTTACAGTTGCAAAAGAATTGGAAAAACAGTGGCTTCAATCCATCTTTAACTATTGGAAACGTAACTATTGGAAAGGATCTTTTTCTACACACAAATACATCTGTTCCTGGGGAAAACAGAATTTTATGTGGGGATTTTTTCATTTAGAAAGGCAAAAGTCACATAATGAGCTCCYGCTCGCAGCCTGTGTTACCTGTCAGCACCGTAGGCGCCGCAGCCGTATTTGTCACAGCCTCGGATCTTGTTGGTAGGATTCCCTCTGCAGATCTGGGCCCAGTGGCGGTGGTGTTGGGGGGGRTGTATGTCCCACTGATTGCCAAAAGCTTTATGAGCAAAAGAGGGGCAAAAAAAGGGAAATTGAACAGGTTCTTAGCATTGTACTATTAGGAGTTGTTAAGCTGCAAAATACAGAGTGTGCTTAAAGCAGAAGACGAGTGTCATAACTCYGCTGTGTGTCACTTCTGTCTAGGTGCCATTGAATGCAGCTTCTCTCTCATTACCTGTAAATTTGGTTTCTGGGATTTTTATCCTTCTCTCCTTAAATTCCATGACTGAAATCTAGTACCCCTTGTTCCCAACTTAGTACCCAAGTACTGGGTTCCCAACTCTAGTACCCCACCTGCRTCATTCCTTGGAATATACTTTGCATCAAGTCCTGCATCAAGTTGTTTCACTATAAATATTTATTTTTCTTCAAGGTAAAACCCCAGCAGGAAGAGCTCCAACGAGAACCCCAGCAGGAAGAACCCCAGCAAGAATGGGTGTGATTAGAGTTTTCCAGTGCTAGGTAGATGGGGAAAGGACAGGAAAAAATGTAACAGCAACCTCTGCATCAGAATAGGTGTGAGGAAAAAGATGAGAAATGGGCTAACAGCTAATGCTAAACAGCAATGATGTAGTAGTTAAATTTATAACAAATGAGCGAAGGTATTTCARCTCCACCAAAGATTTACACTTCATGTTTGTTAATACTGGAAAGGAAAATTCTCAAAATACTCCAATATGATATGGCACTAACTCCCATGCACACCCATGATTAGGTTTTTAAATCATTACAATATTATACATTACAATAATTCTACGTAAAACTAAATTGAAATATACAGCTTTACTATTATGTTTATTGGAGTGAATTTCACTGCTTTCTTACTGCCTGCCTGAAGAAGAAGTAAAGACAAATGCAGAAGAGTAATTGCAACTCACCAGTGGACAYCAAGCTGACCACAGTGATCAGGCCGAGAGCTGACATCTTGTAGCCGCTCCACCGCTGTTCTTTGATCAAATCAAAGACACCTCCTAGTAGCTCTCCTTGGTATTTATGTACTTTGGAAAGTGCAAGTCCATTTTATTTTTGGCCAATCAATCTTGAGCAAACTATTGCACCTCCAAGTAGATGATATTGCCATATTAGGCTGTAAAGATGTCAACCAGCTCAACTGTTGTTAGAGTTGGTTGGGAAAGATAAATGTYTGGCCTCTTAGCACACACTAACAGATGGAAACAGAGCAATCCCACCGGTCAGGAAGCTCCAGTTGAACCATTTCTCAACTCTCTTCCTCCTCCTGAAGCTGGGTGCACCTTGGCCAAAGATTTAGGACCGGAGAACACAGTCTAGAGACTTCAGTTGGAGGGAAATTTTTTACAGCCAATATTTAACCTCAATTCAATGTTTTGGTCCTTCCTTGAGGGGCTTTAATGATCTACCTGCACCCCAGTGTGACTGTGACACTCATGCTGTAGTACCTGCATGCTGTGCAACCAGCATGARCGTCAATAATTTCATAGGATGTAGGTGTCAAAGCGTTGCTGAGCTTAGCTAGCTAGCTAGTACACTTTTCTTTCTATGAGGAAMAAAAGTAATTTAAAAATAAATAACTTTGGAGTCTTGTCTGGTGTTTCTCAGTTGTGGGGCCTCCAAACATGGTTTCTATAATAATGCTCTCTATCTGCCATGTCTTTAGGCCTTGKTTTACTCCAGATTGCCAGTTTGCAGTTGTAGGCGTTTAAATACCTCATTGAAGTTTTACCCAGGGACACCTGCCTAAAAAAACAGGTTTCTTCAATAGTGTTTGCTGAGCTAATGAGATGGTTGTGTTGCCAAGGGAGGAACTGCAGCTGCTCCATCCTCTCTGCAAAGTCCTTGGAGACAGAAAAGTTGAGTGTGAAACAAGCCAGACTCTGCTAGGTGAGAGATTTGGAGTATGACTTTGGGGTCAGAGAGATTGGGAGTAGCTTTTATTAGGTTGCTGCATTGCAATGTGGTATTTTTGATACCACAACTTGAGATATTYGGTATCTCAAGTTTTACAGAGTGGCCTGTTTGTAATTTTTTTACATCTCCATTTGTGTTACTGGGCTTACTGCAGCTTGCTGGTAGCTGGGAGCATGTGCTTTTTGTATCTCCTTCCTAAGATATCTTGCTCAATTCTTTCTTAAATAAATAGCTCAAGATATATATATATATATATATTTCACAGTAACTAATGCATTTGTAGTGAAGTATCTACCTCAAAAAAAGGAGTTTTATAATTCATGCTATGGTAGTTTCGGCGTCCCCTGTCTCTGCCGTGCGACGTGGCAGTGCRGATTCGTCACCTCGGGCAGTTGGGCGCCGGGAAGAGACGAAACTCCCGGTGCCGTCCCGTGTTGGGCAACGGAGGCTCCGTGCCGTGGGGGCCCTTGTGCAAGCAGCCCACGTCCTTGCGCCGGTAGCAGAAGGATATGGGACAACCGGCACCGAGGGCTGCGGTCGGGCCGCTTCCCTGCGCGCGGGCAGCAAACGGAGCCAGGGCCCTTCCCGAATAACCCCGGCCTCTAGGGCCTCCTGGGAGGAGAATCGTCCCTAGACAAATCCTAACGCACCCGGAGAGCCACGACTTTGATGGGAAGGGTATGGAGTTATCAGAAGTGCTCCCTGGACTCCTTAATAACTCCCCGTGGTCCTACTCTGCAAAACAACAGTAGATGTTTCATGATTTACTAGAGAAGGCAATAAAATGATAACGTGTGTTTGAAGAGGTGCTTCTTTCAGATCGACTTTCCCCATTTCAGGCAAGTTTACGCAGCTGGAGGCAGTTCTTTTGTTTCCAAATTTAATGTGGCAATGATAGTGTCTGAGCCTGGCTACTACCTCTGAATTTCTAAATAGAACTGGTAGATCTTTCTTCTCCCAGATTTACTTGTCCCAAAGCTTTTTGCAGACTTGCTTTCAGTAAATGAGTTTTTCAGTAAGTTGAGCTTTTGGTAAATGAACTATTTTACCAACAAATAGAAACAAGAAAGGCTTTTTAAGCCCCCGTTGTTGTGATAGTGTTAAAATGATGAAGCAGGTTGCTGAGGACATGAGGAGCTTTGCGTGATTTGACATTGGCAGAGTTGCCTGGTGGTGTGAGGGACAGCTGGGATTAGTCACTAACATGGAGCCCCAAACTCTCTGCCTTTTAAGATATATAAAGGAGAAGTCCCACAAAGACCCCTCCTCTGTCTCAGGTGAGGTGGCAAGCTAAGCACGTCAGGCTTTCCAGGTGATCTGTGTGCATTTTGGTATCAAAAGCTGTTTGTCTGGAAAAAGAGCACTAGTGTTAATCATAAAAATCAAATTATGCTTCAGAAGTTAGCTGTGGAAGAACTCGCACAATCAGCCTGTGGTTTCCATGGTGAAAATCAAGCTGACCCAACCTAAAACAAATGGCACCTGGGGTTTAATCAGGCTTTTCATTGCTTGGGGAGACCGCAATGACATGAGGTTTGTCACAAAGACTAAAGGAGCTTTAGGTGTCTGGCTTGGGTTGTAGTATCACTGAAAAAGCAGCAGGTTGTGCTACTTGATCAGCCGAGAGACATGTTAACTAGATAGTGTGATGTAGAACACTTAAATATATGGGGAGGTCCAAGTTTGCCCACTCTTGGGCAATTGGTTGCCCCATTCCCTCCCCRGCCCCTCAAGGACTTCTGCAACAGCCTCTATTTTGCATTTATATTCTGCATTTCCAGCACCAAGGTCACTGGTGCTACCAATATACCTATGGGGATTTACAATGATGTGATGAGRTTATCTGTCCTTAAGGCAAACTTTGTGAAATCACCAAAGAAATTCAAAACATTTTGTTAGGAATCACTGTTTTAATAMGGTAATTTTCCACACGTAAGTGAAATGAAGATTTGGGCTTATTAAAGAAACAGCTGCAAAGCGAGCAGGGACGTGCTAGCTTGGTGTGTTACAGCCCAAGCCCAAGTTGCTGGTGAACATCAGGAGGGCCTCCTTCTCTCGGACAGATGCTCTTCCCTTCCCAATAGCTCCAACACTCACTTGGCTGCTGATGTGACAATGTGCAGGGTGCATCAACACCTTTAATGCATTTATTCTTCCTCACTCAAAGCACCCCCTGCATGACGCATTTTGTTGGAGTGTCTTGTTTTTCTTTGCAGAGCCCCCGTTCCAGGTTCAGTGGTTTCTGCTTTATTTAAGGGACTATTGATGCGCAGGTGAGTTAGTGGGTACCTTGTGACGGGCCAAACCTTCGCTTCTGAAGCCTTGGGGCCTGTTAAAGTAGGGTGTGGGGTCGGTGAAGTCACAGTTCTGGACGTGGACGTGGGAGGTGATGCCTCGGTACGCGCTTTGCATGGGCAGCAGGATGCTGATTTTCTCACCCGTCCTGATGGGGCCGCTTGACTTGACTGGTTTGATGTAGAACATCTTGATGTAGAAACCTGTTGACAGAGCTACATCTGGATGTAGCTCCATTTGCTCTTSCTGGGACTCAGGATCTGCTACGAGCTGTAACATTAACTGGCTTCAGGTGTCCTGTAACCTCTGGTGGTGGCTGGATTTAGTGGGACTCACAGGAGCCAAATCCTGGATTTCTAGGTAATCTTTTTGCTTAAATTCTCATGCTATAAAAATACACTTGTGGCAGCATTCATGATTTTTGGGCTCATTTTAAAGTCTCGCAAAGGGACTGGAGTGCTCTGCCACTGAGGTTTGCAAAACGCACAGCTTTAGCTTGGGTACCTTCCCTGGAGAGCTGCACGCCGTCATCGATGGCATTGCCGTAGGGCCGGGTTCGCCCGTCGATCCTCCCCGTGAACAGCGCATGGACGGTGGAGCCGTCCTCACACACCACGTCCACCCCTCCGTGCCGCCTCGCGCCCCTGCAAGAGGAGAGCAACGTGTCCGTGGGTCCATCCATGGCACTTCCACACCAGCCTTCCTATCCCTACCCTGTTCCACCTTTTTAAGGTTTTGTTTTGTTACTGAACTGAAGATGGGGCTCCCGTCTTCACCTGGGCTGGTTGTATCCGCCGCAGCCCTTGGTGTCACAGCCTCTGATTTGGTTGCTGGTTGACTCGAGCAGATGTTGGCCCATTGGGCTGCAGCAGCTAGAAGAAAAAGGAGGAGAAGAGAAAAGATGAGAAAAACCTAGAAACAGGATTTCCCAGTCCTGGTTGTTTCAGAGCTTCTTTCAACTTCCATGCAGGGCAACCTGAGAACTTGAAGGCATGATAGGAGACCTGCTGGAATCAACAGTAAGGCTGGTCTGGACTTTGCTGTAACTGGATCTAGAGAGAACACTAAATACAGAAGCGTCTATAGGGACACTTCATGTTTAGCTGGCTGATCTTTAAGTAAAATGCTTTTTTTAAGGAAAAATACATTCTGTTAGCAAGTGGTAGGCTTTAATCTGCCCTGACTTACCCAGCCACCATAGATATTGCTGCTCAAATCATTTGAGCACAGGTCTTTAGCCCAGCTCAAGAGGCTTTCCCGTGGTTGCTCTGCAATGTGAGGGGGGGTTTATTTTTGAAAAGCAAGAAAATAGAAGTCAAAAATGAATCGGCTCCTATATCCTTACAGATGAACTTCAGGGGAAAAAAAAAAAAAAAAAAAAAAAAGGAAAAAAAAAAAAAGAGAGAGAGAAGGCAGTTTATAAAGAGCAATGTTTACAAAAAAATCTACTAACTTACCGCTGGAGACTGCAGTCGCGAAAATGACTGCTGTGGCTCGGTGCGTTTTCGGGTGCCTTGGGAGCTTTGTTTTCACACTGAAAGGTCTAAAATACCCTGCTTTCTATTTATACATCCCAGCAGAAGCTCTAGCCAATTTTTTCCAGCCAATCGGAAAATTTATGGGACACTAGTTGCTTTGCTCTCAGATTCAAGCCAAAGAGCAAGGACGGACAATAACCTAGCTAATTGGGGCTGAAGAGGCTCCAACTGAGGATCTTCATTTATTTAGCAATACCAGCTAAATACTATCTTGTTTGCAACCACACACTGAATTTTAAAGCCAGACTTTAAGRGGGGTTTGTAGCTCTTTCTCTTCATTCCTGCCTCTTGCGCAAACTTGGAGTTCAGTAGGACGATTTGGGTGGAGAAAGGGAAAAGAATTCCGATGAACTTTAAAAATATCTGGGCGGATAAATACCTTGTACTCCCACCATGTCTCGGAAGAAATGGAGCCAGGTGGCCCCATCCCTGAAGCACTCAACCTTGTGCTGGGAAAGCTACGTGGTTTGATCAAACAGCACACAAAACGAGGCTCTTCTCCCCCATATTTATTTGCCAATTTTATTGCCCAGATATCCCGTGTTTCCAATGTGATTCCTGCAGCGTGACCAGGGGGAACAGACACATGTTTACAATCTTTGCTGTGCCTGAACGGGGCAAAAAAAGAAAAAGTAGTAGTAAGAAACCCTATAATATTGTGGCTGAGCAAAATTACAGGAAATTCAAGAAATAGAGAATGCTGGAGCATGAACAAGGCCATCACGGGAGTTATTTCTGGGAAGGGAGGGAATGTGATCCATTGGTTTATGGCCAGGAGCTGGGAGCTGTTTGTCTCCTTGGCTTGTTGAGGGCCTGGTCTGGGCCATGGGGAGCTGCTGACCATTTTGTTTCTCTGTGCAATGGAAAAGGAAAGCCAGGGATGYGAGTGACATTGTTTTCAGATGGGATGTTGTGCCCTCAATGGCTCTTTTCCACCGTGTTTCTAATGCTGGTATCGCGTCGATGGGTTGAGTTGGGCCATAYAGCCCCAAAATGGACCAGAAGCAGAGCGCAGATGTGAGAGATTCGAAGCATCTCCCGCACCAGCAGTGCTGGCAGCAGCTGAGCATTAATCATGATTTACACGAGAAGAGGTGGTGCTGGCAGCACACCTTCAAGACGAGCATGCCACCTTCTCCCTTTCCCCTKGAGTTTACTTAGTAAATGTTTTGAAGCAGTACGTTTAGAACCAGGAAAAAGGATACCTGGTTCTCTGCACCGTGCTTCTCTTGCCCAGGTCTCAGTTAACCCTGCTCAGATAAAACAGCATCACCTTAAATTCATTTTGTTAAGGGTTCAATCTTCTAGAGACTTACCGAGCAGGGTCTGAGAGAATTTAAGAGGGCTTATGGAGAAGGAAGTCTCCTTTCTGCTGGCCCATTGCTCTATGGAAAGCGATGGCAGGGGATTTGTTCCTCACCCCCAGTTATCTCTCTTGGACAACCCATTTTAAGCCTAGTTAGTCCCTATGAAGCAAGGAGGTAGCAAAGCAGCAAGCGGCTTGCCCAGTGATCAGCCCAACAGTTAAGCGCAATACAAATAAGATCAGATTTAAAAGGCAACGAGATTAAATCCTACCCCTAGAACTCACCAACGTTATTAAAAGCAATTTCCCAAACTGTAGCCATCTAATAAAGCTCCTGTCCAACTGGAAACATCTGCCTCAAAGCCTGGCTTGGTAAGACACGGTGTTTTCGCTCTGTGTGTCAGACACACAAATAGCTCCAAGAGCTGTGGCTCTGTCGTGCACATAAATTACCCAGTTTGCTGGCAATGCTCAAGGGGTGCGAATGCTCAGCCCAACGAGCGGATGCTACAAATGCTCCGAGCTCCTGTCCCCCCCACCTTCTGTTTCTGAGGAAAAAAATAAATAGAAAGGACAGGATGTTCCAGAGGACCCGGGTGTCCAGAAGCAGCTGTTTGATCTGCCTCCTCTTCACTGATAACATCTCAAACCTTGAAAGAAATAGGAACTCGCTTAGTGCCAATTTTTTTTTTTTTTTTTTTAAGAGGATTTTTTTTAATGCTTGTTTTAATGTTTAAGGGACTCCTGCAATGCAACATCTGGCTCGTGCAAGGGGCTCTGAGGGAAAGGCTGCTAACGAAGCCCTGCTCGGTTAGGAAGTTGCGTTGAGAGGCTTGCTGCAAAGTCAGGCGGGAGAGAGTTTAGAAATGCTTCACCTGCAGGAAAGCAGGGGTTTGTGCTTCCCCAAAAGCCTTGCTGCAAGTTGCGGAAACACACGGCGGTTTTTTATTAGTTCATGCAACCGAAGGAGCCCAGTGCAATTGCGAAAACAAGCTCGTTGCTCCCATGCTGGTGGCAACTACGTTCCTTCCTTGACGTCCTGTGTAAATATACATATATATTTTAATCTGTGTAGATACCCACAAATTTCATATCTGTAAATTTGCGGATGTAAATGCATATAATTTTCCCTCTTCTTTAATTTTTTTTTCTGTTTTTCTTTTCTCCTCTGTCTCGTATGCATCATCCAATACCTCAAAGTGTCTGTCTCAAGCACTTTGCGTTATCGCTGCTGGTCTTTGATTAAAAAAATAAAAAAATAGTGCTAGTGCCCTTTTAGTGATAGTTATTCTCCCTCTCTCTCTCTCTCTCTTTTTTTTTTTTTTTTTTTTTTTTTTTTTCCTTTTTCTCCATATTCAGCTGGTTTTCCTTCCCATCACTGATTTTTGCAGGGCTGCAGCCCAGGGAAAGGCTCGGTGGGTGCTGCTAGGCATTTAAGCTCTTGCATTTCTAGGGCTCCTTCGAGGATGTTTTGGTGCTGGTGCAACAGTTGCTGACGCTGGAGCAAAGGATGCCTTGAAAGGTCCCGATTCAGGATGATGGATCCCGCAGCAGAGCCTGCTGCTTCCCCGGATCCGAGCCCTAGCGCGGGAAGTGTCTCTGCAGAGGAGACTGGGTCTGTAAAACAACCACGGAGAGAGCCCAGCTTGTTAGAGGAAAAATAGAGGGAAAGTTATTGGTGGCACCCAGAGGGTTGGGATGCAGCGCCCGGGGCTTGGCCGCCCTCGCTGGGATGGAGGTGGTTGGAGGCTTGCTGAGGTGGCACCACTGTTGGGACGTCCCTTAGAAAGCATGGGACATTTGAGTGAAAATATCTGTTCCGGTGTTGGTTTCGTGCTGCTCTCGGCCGCCCCTTTGCCCGGCAGAGGGTGCAGCCGCTTCTCGGTTCTGCACGGAGGAGTTTTGCGGAAAGCAGCGCCCTGGCCCTCGCTGCAGCCTCTTCCCTCTTTAGAAGAGAAGAGGAGATTGCAGGGGGCTTTGCAGCTGCAAAACTAGGGCTATTTAATGCCTGCATCGAAAACAATTTCAAGCAATATTTGCCCAGGCAGGAGGGACTGGGGACAGCAGTTGTGTAGCCCTTCTCTGTAGGACTCGCTTCTCCAGTCGCTTGGTTATAATCCCCATAAATCCCCGGCCAAACGGCAATTTCCTGCTGACATGGGGCAGTGTGGGAGCAAGCAGGAACTCTGGCGAGGGCAGCCCGTTTTGGCACCTCTTTCCTAAGTCCAGCTGCAGGGCCACCAGCCCTGGGAGTCTTGGGGATGCCTTTGCACCCCGAAAGAACCTGAGCATCATTTCCTACATCGGGGACCRAGGCTGATGCTGCAGGCTGAGCAGATCAGGGCTCTGTTCTCAAAGCGGGGCTTTGTGCCAGGTTTACCCGCTGGTGAGCAGGACGCTGCGAATGCCAAGTCTCCGGGAAGCTCCCATCCCCTTGCAGTTGTATGGCTATTTATTTATTTTATAGTGCTGCTTATGATTGACAGTAATTGGCATGGGAATAATGAGGCCCGCAAAAAACATATCTGAGGGTTTGCAAAAGCTGCAGTGCATCTCAAAGGGGGACGGACCCGCCTGGCCTCCTTTCAAGTGCCCAAATATTGCAGCTTGGTGCAGCCTAATTAGATTCAGTCTCCTCATTCGAGGCTACATTTTCTTCATAATGAGGGGCAGATCTAAATTAAATTGTGATTCCCATGAAGAAAATATTTGCCAACTCTCCTTGTTTGCATGCTGCTTCCGGAGATTAGGGAAGGATAGGAGCTATGGTCCTTGCAGGCACAGAGGGCACCAGGAGCATCTCGATGCCGTGAGCTGCCCTCATCCAGGCAGAGCATCCCTCCCTGCTGCCAGCCACMACGGCAACAGTGTGTCCTAACCTAAAAATAGCCAAAAACCACAGTCTGCTTTAAATGCAATGGTGTTTTGTGTCTATCTGTGTCTGCAAGATCCATGTTCTTACACTGAGACTTGAGCGGTTCCATTGAACCTGTGTGCGTTGAACCTGTGTTGGGCTCAGGTGACCTGGCTGCATTGAGTGCGCACTTCCTTGCCTCTGGTCTCCTGGTAGAAAGAGCAACTGAGTCACTCTTGCTTCTTCCTTCCTTTCCCAAAGAGCAGGCCTGGGAAAAAGGGATGAATTTCCGACATCTGTGCCGTGGGCAAGCAGCTGATGCTGGTCACTCCTGCAGTGCGAGTCAAAACTGATCTGGTGTGAAAGGATATTTCAGTACTTCCCGTTCCAATTGTCATTCTTTTATGGAAAGGCCACCAGTCTTCCCCTCTGAGGATGTCCCAGAAAGCTGTAGCTTAACACGATGGAAGAAAGTGTTCTGAATAGGATGGCTTCAGTGTTGGCTAGAATGAATTGGTGTAGAGAAAAAATAAAAGACATTATTTATATAATTATAAGAAAAATAATTTCACTGTTCCTCCAAGGAGACACCTGTCTCCCATTGAAAGAGACCCACCTTGTGTCCTGTGTTGGGCAACCYCCATTCCTCTTCTATCTTATGCAACTTTCATGATATTTCAAGTGGAAAAGGTACCCGGTGGACCAAGGAGGCTTGTGAGATTGCCACCTCACAAGCCGGAGCAAATTCCTCCAGACGTTGGGGGAAAGAAGGAGAGGAATTGCAAAGGTAAATTAGAAGATAGGCTCTTCTCTAATGAGATGGAGTCTTTACAGGTTTCCCATTTCCTACTGTTCAACTTTGATGGTAAATGCTCCTGAATTCCCCTCCACCAGCTGTTGCTGGTAATTAGCAAATGGCTCATTAGCGCTTGAGGGTCAGAGCTCCTGGTTGGTAGTTCCCTCATGGTATTTCCTACTCCAGCAGCAAAGCTGCAGTGTGATGTGCTGACCGAACAGTGTCCTGCCCTCTCCATCTCTGGGGGAAAGAAACTCCAGCCCTACCACCCTGCCATGCTTTCTAATGAAAAGCTCAACCCRAATCTTAAGTGTATTTATATTTCCTTCAGAAAGAGTGAAGTGTTTTCCTACTAAAATGTTACTCCACGCTTCCCTGTGAGTGAGCCCTTATTTTCACTCTCTTTGAAAAATATATATCTCTTTTCACTTTTGTCTCCATCCTGGTCTCAATCATTTACATTTGCAGTTA